ACGATATATACATCGAGCATCATGTTGCCTATGTTTGCTACATAGCGAATAACCATTACATCTGATTGAAAGACCATTGCTATGGCTAAGTAATCGAAGCGAAATGACCCCAATATGCAATTTATAGGAAAATATATCACTGCCGTATATTTATTTTAGAACTGTCAGTGTAAATGCCTACTATGTTAACAAAAATGCTTTATAAGACTGCAGTTATAAGAAAACCGAACTTAATCAGAGCAAATGTAGGTAATAAAGAGAGGGATACCCAAAATTTAATAGAGTATGATGACGTGTTCTACCTATTACAATTCTTGAACAGCGGGATAGAGCATAGCAGTACTCTTTTCGGTCATATACAATAGAAAAAGAAATTATCTTGTCCAACACATAAATATGTAGAATTTTTTTGTGAATTCGGATAGATGAAGTTGTCATATGAATGCTAACGACTTATTATTACTAATAGTGCTCTTATAAAATAAGTATTGGAACTGAATTTAAGAAGATATTTGAAAAAAAAGTTGAAAAATGTTTGATCAGTATAAACTATAATAATTTGTGCAATAAGTATCTATATGAAGTATTTTATAATTCGCTAACTTTTTCCATACTTGTCTTAAGAAGTGCATATACTTTTTTTTAGGATTTACATATTAACGCCATGAAATAATTTATGCTGTAACAAGGTTTCACATTTAATGCCATTAATATTGCAACCCAATTAAAGGAATTACCCTTGCACGTATCACTAATTTTGCAATATAAATCGCTCACCTCTTTTCAAGGACCCAGGATACCTATATATGTGTGGATCCTTTCATTTTTCGCAGAGCAGCACAATGCAAACTTCAATGTTTACGTGGTAGTGTTTGTGTATTTACACTTAAGCACGTAACGACTTACAAGCATAATTTAATTACCGACATGGTGAAGACCTCAAAATCAATCTCATCAAAAAATTATTTTTGCCTTAACCTTTAATTTAAATTTTTGCATATTTCCACTTCGCTCAACATTAAACAACCCAACAATCGTGGTTTGCATTTTTTCCCACTGAGTTTTATTTTTTAATTAAATTTGTTTTTAACATTAAAATTTTAAAAAGTTTGCTTTGACTAAAACGAACTGAATGGAATGGATTGAAGAATCTACTCGGAGCAATGGAGATTAATAACAACTTAAATCGCTGTGTATGGGTTTTGTATCTATAAGTATATATATTATAGTTGTATATCTTAAAGGAAAAGTTTAAGTATTTTTATTTTAATATATTAAATTTTATATTCTATTAGTTAAATTATTTTAATAGGACATAGTAAATTAATTTGCCTGACCCTAATCCACAGACACACCCATCGACCCTTAACGATACCAGTTGAAGTTACAAATGAAGATTTATTAACATTTATTTTTATTTTAAACATCTTTGTGTTTCCTTCCAGTGACATATTGACTTCAGGTCCAAATATCTACACAGAATCAGTAATTTTCTTAACCAACATATAGCTGTTTGTCTTATAATTATTATATATGGTAGCTTATGATCCCAACTTCGGTCCTTCACGGTCCAATTGCTGAAATCAGTTTACTATGCATACTTGAAAGGTTATTTATCTTATGCTTCTGCGGACTTTATTAACTACTCCCTAAGTAATAGACTTTTTTCAAAAAATGTTATGTTGGTACACCCTTTCTTGATATATGGTACAAATTTGAGCGCCATCTGTCAATTAGTTTGTTTACAACAGCTGTTAATGTGAGACTACCTCAAGTGCATTTGGTGATTTTTACTATGGAAAATTCAGTTGAACAACGAGTTTGTTTGAAATTTTGTATTTTTAACGAAATTTCATATGTTGAAGCATTAAAAATGGTGCAGAAAGCTTACGGAAACTCTTCTATGTCTCGAACACAGGCATACGAGTGGTATAAATCATTCAAAGAGGGTCGTGAAGCGATCGAAGATTTGCTTCATTCTGGACGTCCATCAATATCAAATACTGAAGAAAACGTGGCAAAAAACAAAAAAATTGTGTTGGAAGATCACCGTATGACTGAAAGGGAGATTGCTCGAGACTTGAACATTTCAAATGGATCCATTCACAACATTCTACATGATATATTGGGCATGAGACGCATTGCAGCTCGACTTGTACCGAAAGACCTTAATTTTTTGCAAAAAGAATATCGAATGCATTTGCGTGAATCCATCCGTAATAAAAGACCTGATTTGTGGAAAGTCAACAATTGGATTCTTCACCAAGACACTGATCCATCGCACACGGCTCTTGTTGTACGCGAATTTTTGACCAAACACGGCACCACTGTCATCGCTCAGGCACCATATTCACCAGATCTGGCGCCGTGCGACTTTTTCCTGTACCCGAAACTCAAATTGCCCCTTTGTGGTAAGCGATTTGAATCGATTGAATCGGTAAAAGAGAATTCGCTGAAGGAACTAAAATCATACCTGCACGGGCCTACGAAAAGTGTATGGAAGATTGGGTTAAGTGTTGGCATATGTGTATCGCTACAGAAGGAGCATATTTTGAAGGAGAAAAAATAAATTTGGAATAAAATTTAAATTTGTGTGTTTTATTTACAAAATCCAAATACTTTTTGAACAGAAGGTAAGTGGGTTAAAAACTCATACTGTACCTTTTGATAGTTTTCACCTACTAAAAATAAAGTAATTAGTAGTTTCATTTACTCTCCTCTGTCCAGTTGGACTTTGACAAACACGAAAGAGATACTATTTACATTTTATTATACAAAAAGAAGAAATTTTACTTAGGCCTGTTATAAATAAAGTTTCAAGTGACCGACAAGTATGTCACCATACGATGATATGATGAATGATATGACAATTACTTTCAGTGGTTTTCCGTACTGTTATCAGAAAAGAAAACCCAAATTATTCTTTGGTAGAGTTTACGAGGATTAAGTCCTCCTTCCATTTCACCTACCTACCTTCTTTGCTAAGACGTAGCTAATATCACTGCTGTTTTTTTACAAGAGTACCAGGTGTAACCTATTTTATAGTACTTTTCATTGTTTGATATACTTATGAGTTTCGCAGTTTTGAGTAAAACTAAGCGATCCTACCTTCACCATCAGTTGTATCTTTATATCTTCGTCCATTTTATTATGTAGATTGTTTTGTTAGATAGATTCTTGAATGATTTATGTATATATGTGGTTTTGTTATTTAAATCCTAGTTGAAGTATGCTCTTGATGATTTGAACCTTTGCTTATATTATTGCTCCTATACTCCGCTAATGGATAGTTGAATATATTGGAACGACAATATTTTATAAAATAGATACTAGATAAACATGAGAACTTAAAATCTATGTATTTCTCGAGAAAAATTAAATTTTATTTAAGAGGTGTAAATACATTTGTTGACAATTTACGATACTTGCAACAATGAAACAAAAAGTTTTTATTTCAGTATAAACAAACTCATACTGTATGTAATTGCTACTGAATATATTTGTGTATCTTGTATCTCGAATTGCAGCTATAAAAATAACTGCTCGCACACAGCACAGAAATTAAAACATGAATATTTTAGCTGAGTCGGAGGCAAAACAATGCATTTCCATCTAAAAACGCCACACAAGTAGTACCAGTGCAAGAGTGCAGAGGAGTACAGTGGGCGTGGTGTTGCTGTAGCTGGCAGTACGTGTTGTCGCTGATCTGTCATAATAATTAGCATAAATTCCAAATGTCAACAAGCTGTCACAATATGGCCGAGTTAAGTTCATGTGTGCGGTGTAGTGTTCTCTGGGAAAAGCCAAAAAAGAAAACAAAAATGTTAAATGGAAAATGGAAAATTTTATTTAAAATTTTCCATAACATTTGAAGCAACAAAACATTACACATTCACTTACCGCTGATCTATGACATGCCAACCCAGTGTTTCTGCGCTTAACGAGAGCAAACTGCCATCGAGTGTATTTGGCATGATAAGAAGTTTATCGGCCTTCATGAAATCCCCCACAATTTGAAGGGATTTGAAAGCGATATTGGGCTTTACTACTGCAGTGCTGTTGAAAATTTCCGCACAGCTGGCAACACTCTCATTTTTACAAGCATAAAGTGCGCAAATTTGTATGTCCGACCATTCATTTTTCTGATAGGTGCGCTGTCCTTTGAACGCACCTATACGATATTTATAGTAAACAGTTTCGGCAGGTGTGTCAATCGATTGGGTTGCGATATCAAAACGACAACAAAAGTCATTATTACATAAGGTTTGTGTTATATTTTGCTGGGTAGTAAAATCCAAAAGCAGAGATGTGAAATTTTCTATTTGTGGATCCTTTAATAGGGTTAATTCATCGCTCGCTACAATCGGCATAGAAGTTTCAGTTTTTTGTTTATACTCATAATCATTCGTTAAAGTTTTATTTGATATAATTGGCACCTGTGAGACATAAAGTTTTCTGATACCAACACCTCCAACCATTACTGATACTAGATCACCTTGAACTCCAGCATATATACCAGTCCCAGTTACACCAGCGACTGGTAAACTAGCCCCTGCAGCTAGTACGTTAACATCATTACCCCATGCCCAGGATTGTTGTAGTTGAACAGCTGTAGAAATTAGTAGAGAATACATATACTTTAAGGTTAAGATGGGTGTTCCTAATGGATTCTTTAAAAAAATGAATTACGGCAGATAGGAAAGCAGATAGTCTTAGAGAAGATTAATATAATACGATAACTAATTCATAGGTTTCTGATACTTATGCTCATATATGAAAGAAATTATAAGTTTATTCTTTATATTATATGTGTTCCCAAAAACAGAGTGTAAGCGTTGAATTAGTTGGTCCACACACACACCTGTAAACAGATATATAATTCGAGTAGGTTTGAGATAATTAAAAACATATTTTTATCTTATTGTGAGACTTTTAAGAATAAATTGAGAATATTTCAACCAGTGAGAGAGTTGAGATAAAGAAGCTTAGTACTTAAAAGTCTAGGTACAGTCGTAATACCTAAATTATGAATATGCATACATTTGAATATAGTTCTATAATTCATTTTGGGGGAGTGCATGGTTATTTAAGTGCACACCCCTGGTTGCGTGTCTGGAGTGATAATGCATTAATAAAAATTTTCATAATATAGTTTACAAATATAGTTTAAATAAGGTAAAAACTGAAAGATAAGATATCTGACACTCTGACGATTTGGTCTTCAAGTTTTCGACAAATTCTTGGTATTTTACGTAAGATATAACTAATTTTATTATTATTATCAATAAATTTGTTCTTACCTATTAAGTTGGGGTGGCTCAGTGAATATTCTTGACCAAAACAATTAGATATATGTTATATCTAATGGATCTATTCCAGGTTTGCTAGAAGGACAGCTTCTCTTCTTGTAGACCCGAAACTATGTAGTAGCTTGAGAGAATATAATTTATTCTAACTCATTTACAAGGAATGAGAAGAAAGAAAGAACAAACTAAGGTAATCTAGAATAAACACACAATTTAGCTTCGCATGATTTATATTGATTCTAGTATAATTGATTTCAACTTAAAACGATTTAAGTATTGTATGCAACTAAGTTAAAATAATTTAAAAATCATTACACAAATTCTAACCGTGCACTGTAGATTAAACTAATGCCTTACAAAGCTGGGACGTTACTTTAATGGAACATGTAAGTTTTGTAGCGAAGACAATGAGATCCCAAAACACGCACTGGGTGTTTGCTCTTCGCTTATGCATGGCAAAAGAAATACCTACATGGGTATTTCATACTAAATAAAGTAGTAATATGCATTACTACAATTTACAAAGCAAGTTCGACTTGAAGAAATTCGCTTAGTCCATGAACGGATTAAAATAGGTCTCTAGATTGAAAGAAATGCTAATTCCCCCTACATAATAATAATAATAATATTGGTGACGCCTTAATATTGGTGAATTTTAAAAATATTTGGAATCACAAGCGTATTTAAGTAATAAATCTCTTATAATCTAGATAGTAATGCAAGTCTCCTAACATCCTAACTAATATATAATATAAAATTTATAATATTCATAATATTATGTTGGGAGACCAATAATAATAATATAATATAATAATATAATATAATAATATAATACCAATAATATCAATTCCATACTTTATAACTAAAATACAATAGTATTAGTACGATTATTCGTATTATTCGTACTAACAATATGGCTAAGTAGGAAAAAAATTGCCGCTTAGGAGCATTTGTAAGCTCTTAAGCAACATTTCCAAGCATTTACACAAAAGAAGCTATAAATATTTATTATAAAAAAATTCTATTATTAAAATATTTATCTACTAATTAATATAAATAAATTTTTGCTGGATTATTATTTTGTAAGTTTTGCAAGACAACTGCGAGCATTTTTTAAATTGCTTATTTTGAGTTAAAAAAAAATCTTAAACACTTAAACTACTCTTCGAACTGCTCCACAACCTATGCTTTTTCCGTATCCAATACAAATGCTATAATGAATTCAACTATCAAAGAGTGTAAGTGCAACTAACGAACTCACCTGTCAGAAATGGCAATTCCGAATAGAACATACTAGTAAATATAATGTCCTTAATACCATAACGAACGACTAGCTCCTCTGCTGGAGTGTAAAACAGAATGTCAAAACATATAAAATGCCCGAATCGTACACCAAAATCCGTTTCGAATATGCCATACTCCGGCTCAAGTGTTGTGTTTTTCTGCTCTACATAGATGTGTACTTTACGATAGCGTGAAATCACACATCCCTCCCGATCGAACACAACATTCGTATTATAGACATTCAAGCCATTGGCAGCACATGAACGTGTATCCTGTGCAACCGCAGTGCAATTCTCCTTTTCCGTTAAATTAATTACTAAATATTTTCGAGCCGTACGTGCAGCACAAGACAATTGCATTAGAAAATCCGCATAGACCATCCCCGTCACGTTCAGACATGGCACAACCTTCTCATGTGCTGCGGGCACATAAGTCGTTTGAAGTGCATTATTCAATGTGCCCTCAGGAAATACAATGATATCTGTATCGTTGGCTTCCGCTGATTTAATAATGCGTACGTATGCCTCCAAATGCTCATTGACGATATCAGCAGACGACATGCCGGCAATTGTCGGTAAAAACTCTACTACGCCGGCTGTGTAATAGGATTTACCGGCCCCATTGCAAAGCTGTGAACGAGAATAGGGAGCTCCAATGCAAGTGGCTACGCATTTAATTTACAAGTAATTAAGTACTTACCGCTAATTTCCTGCACACAATTAAAATGAGAATTATTTTGAAAATATCTTTCATTATTTATTTTTTAATTGCAATAAAATTGAATTTAAAAAAGTTGACACATTCACCACACCACAAAAAACGAAGCGATCTTATAAACTGCGGCTCCGCTACTGAATTTAATTGCTTGTTCACCTGAAACTCTCTCACTCAATCTCAATTGTTTTTTTAATCTAATCGCACGTGTGGTAAACAAACGATTATGAGGAGATTTGAGTTCCAGATTGTTGAGTGGAAAACATGTGCATAAATTGTTGTTGCTTTAGTATTCACAATAAGAAAAAAAGGTTAAAGAATGACGATTTGAGTACAAAACTGGTTTTGTGCTATGATGAGCTTTTTTGCGCAATAAATGAGTGTGTGTGCTTACTTTTGACTCAAAATTCTTTGCTAATGTATACGAGCTTTGTAGATCATACGATTTCATATGAGCAACTTCATATGGCTTACATATGAAAGCATAAAAAAAATTGGTGGCAACCTCAGTGGCTGCCGCAAAGGTTGATGTAATTAAAAATTTATAAGAAGAAATGTCACGACATAGCGTTGGATTTAGTGGTTTTAGTGGGGTTTCCTATATTTTTTTTCTGGAATTTATTTTTATAGCAAATAATAGTAATTTAATGTAAATTCTATATAAACATATATAGATATATACATATATTAAAATAAATATAATACAAAACCTGGAAAAGAGAAGAAACAGAAGAAGGAGAAGTCGAAAGATAAGGAACCATAAATGGTTCGGCGATACCTTCGATACGAAGAAACTGGTGGGGGAACGTAAAGAGAGGGAGGCATGTAGGTCTGCCACGTTTAGGCGTCTCATGGAACGTATTTTAAAAGAACTACACTGGAAGAAGTGCTTGGGGTACCTTGATGTCTTGAACAATGATTTTGACGATCACTTGAGATGGCTGAAGGGACTATTTGAGTAGCTAGATATCAAGGGTTGGATGGTAGTTGCTGTAGGCTTGCGTACGCATGTCCGGCATATAGAAGTAGTTTCATCTGAGAATGATTGGTATGTTGATATGGTGATACTTGTTCGGGGCGAATAAGTTTAGGATGATGACAATGTTGTGAATACAGAATATGGAATCTATGAATATGAAATCTAGTAATCTTAGAAATAGGTTTTTAAGAATGTCAATTTAGTTTAGAATTGTTTTGAGTTATTATTATTGGAGAAAATTATGTGTTTGCATTTAACAAAACTAAGACCAATAATAAACGATCATACAAAACTAAAGTGAACTATTTAATTACTGATCGAGATCCAGCGATCGCGAACGACCAAGACAAATTGTGAAACGTTTTTTTAAGCATGATGAAAATTTTATATAAGCATGATAAGTTAAAACACACAAAAAAAATATTTTTTATAACATAAACAAAAAGATATGAATTCTAGTGCTCCTTAAATATTGAAATCAATTTTTTGTCAGTTTATTTGCACCGATTTTCTATATTTAGAAGGAATGCAAACCTTCAAATATAAAGGGCATTTCTGGGGGTTTATGCAAAAATGCTTCTAAAAAAACAAAGCTTGGAGTCATGGCGAATATTTCAAGCCTCATAAGACTAAAACTATAGAAGTTGAACAACTTTGAAGCCTGGCGGGTATCTCAAACATAAATATTCATACTTTCATGTATATTCATGTTGATTTTAAAACTTAAGTCGAGCTTGTGGTAAAAAAATCGGACTAATGTTTCACTTAGATACGAAGGATTATTAGAATAATTAAATTTATTCATGAAATCTTTCTGATACTCCAGGAAATGAAGAGGGGCGGCTCCTATTTTCGCTAATAGAGAAAAAAATACTGTTAAAAATTTTTTCTGAGAATTCATTAATTACATTATTTATGATAATTAAAACAATTGAATATAATAAGATAATTGATCTACATGCCTGGATTAAAAAATATTTTAAAGAAGCTTCAGAAGATAATAGATTATTTTTATTATAAATTGAAGGAATAAATGCCAATAAATTAACTTCTAACCTTATGGTTTCTCCGTCCTAAAATTCCCTTGTATCTAATATTCTTAATATTAAAATTATGCAAATCGTAAGTATTTGTGAATTATTTATGTTAATATGTTAATGTAAAATATTTTCTTTAAATATTTAAAATTTAAAAAAAAATTAGTTAAATAATAAAATTAAATTAATTTATCAGGAGAATTTAAAGATCTTTCAATAAGTTGAAGTATTTATTAACACTCTAAACCAAATTTAAGTCACTTTCGAATTACATTAAAATTTGCATAGTAAATTACTCCAGGTATTAGATTACCTACGAATCCATAGAGTAACAAATTTCAACTGTTACTTCGACGACGGTTAAAGTGGCCTTTCAAGAAGTCAAAGCAAACGAGGCACCATTAAAATATAATGTACATATATATACATAAATACCCATTTATGTACGTATGTATTTATTTT